CCCTAGCCCTAGCCCTAGCCTTTGCTCCCCTGAGGATTCCCTCCCTCCCTGTGTCCGCTGGTACAAGTCATAACGAGGTTTCCTGATTGCTCAAGTAAAATAATTGCCACCTCTCTTGGATCCTGCAGCTGTTGTTCATTTATGCTAAATAACTCCAACAACCATGTTTTGCGGTTTTCAACAATTTCACACACATTTTGCTCACTGGCTTGGGGTCACCCAGCTAGTTCTAATTCCGGTGGAGCCATAGCTGAACCCCAGGGAGTCAGACTGCAGAACTCATGTAAGTACGTTAGTAATTGGGTAATCTTTCCCAATGCAACGAGCAAAATGTGTGTGAAATCGTTTAGAATGGATCTGAAGCCTGGCTCCTGAGTTCAAGTTTAACTTCTCTAGGCCTCCTTGTTTCCCAGCCTGAAGCCTGGGCTTAGCACCTGGAGCTGCGTCCGGCAGCCGCGGCGTTGAGCCGCGCGAGCCTAGCGGACTGAGCGAGCTCTCCTCCACTCCCCACAGGCCCCTGGAGCTGCTGCTGTTGTTCCTTTCAGAGGAAGAAACTGAGGTTCAAAGAGGCAGTCACAGTTTTCAAGGTCACCTTGCTGGTGAGCATAGGAATTCATGTTTGCTGTTTGTCCCACTCACCACCCCCGCCCGCCCTCCAAGACTTCCCGTTACTGAGCTCGTACACGGGACTGCCCTGAGACTGCCCCCGCGCGGTGTGTAATCTGCGCGGATCCGTCCCCAAGCACTGCCTTTTCCCTTCCAGGGGGGGACTTGGCAGCGCGGGACCCGGCCCCCCGCTGGGCTGCACACGCCCAGCCCCTGACCGCCTCCGCCACCAGGGGGCGCTATGGGACAGGGAGGCAGCGCCCGCAGGCTGAGAACAAGGGCCCTGGGACCCTGGCTACACTGCCCCGAGGAGCGTCGCCTAGAAACTGGCGGGAAAAGCGCTCACAACTCGGGCCCCCAGCCCCCAGACAAATCTCAGAGCCTCCAGGGCCTCTCCCCAATGCGACCACAGCCCCTGACACCCCCAGCCGCCCTGGGGGACCACAGCACCGACCCCCCGGCTTTTATGGCCGCGGGCGTGGGCCTGCCGGCCAATCAGCCTGCGGGTGACGGTACAGGGCGTGGGGCCCACGGCCGCCTGCTCCTACCATCTCTCCACCCTCCGCCCCCTGCCCAGGGCAGGCGCCCAGCTGGTGCGAAAGGTGGGAAAGGAAACGAGGGGTGTGGTCGTCCCGAGGGGGCAGGTCCCTGAGGATCCCCAGAAACCAGGGAGGGAGTCAGCGAGCGTGGGGTCACAGGGGGCAAAGTGGGCTAGAAGCTTGGAGAAGGGCGAGAGGGAGGGTGGCACCGGACAGAGGGTCGAGGCAGGTGAAGGCCCTGGTGCAGCAGCAGAAATGGAAGGAGACAGACAGCCAGAGGGGACCCTGCTGGCCAGAGGGAGGGGTCAGGCTGGGGACAGAGCCCTCCATCCAGGTATCCCCATCCCACCTCTGAGCCGCAGCCCCACTCAGTCTAGAGCATCCTCTTGGAGAAGGGGTCTGAGGGAGCCAGGGTTGGGATGCCATGTGGTGACAGGGTGACCTTGGCCGTGGGGCTGGCTCTGGATCGAGAGGCGCAGGCCTGGGGCACAGCAGAACCCCAGAGGCTGGGGTAGGTTAGTGGGGGGGCGTGGGCTGGGGCTGGGCTCAGCCCGTTCTCGGAGACACAGGGGTCTCCTCGTCTAGGCTCTGGAGGAGTGTTCTGGCGCAGCCAGAGGAGGGAAGGGTTTTAGGGTCCCTGGAGCAGAGAACCCTGCAGCGGGTGCATGCCGGCCCTGTCCCACCTGGCCCTGCTCCTCACCTGGGCCCGGAAGGTGCCTCGTTGCGGGGGAGGGGACTCCAGGGCTCTGGGTGCTGCCCCAGGGGACAGTGTGTCCAGATGCCTCCGCAGCAGTGGTCCCCTGGGCCAGGTCCTCCCCCGAGGTGGGGTCCCAGGTCCAGGCAGGATAGTCCTCCTCGTTGGCACGGCCTTGGGAGAAATCAGGATGGTCTGGGCCCTGTCCGGCCCAGAGGTCCCCAGTGCTGCTCCAAACTCCCCTTGCAGAGTCTCCTACAGTGACTCTGGGTCCCCCGACCCCATGGCCCCCTGACTGCCCCACACCCTGCTGTCCCTAGTACCAGTGCAGGTCAGCACCACATCCTCCTCGTGGTCACAGTTGTGCTGTCCCCACGCCCCAGAAGGGCAGTCACTCAGCGACGTCTCAGTCCCTTTGCAGCCCACATCATCCAGCCAGATGGGCCCAGTCCCAGGGCCATAGTGGGTTTTGCCCACGCGGGGCCGGACCCGTCCACAGCCCAGCTCCCAGCAGGCTACGGTGCTGTCCCGCAGGTCCCAGTTGTCATCGCACACTGTCCCCCAGCGTCCAGCATGCCACACCTCCAGCCGGCCAGCACATCGGTTGGGCCCATCAGCCAGACGAACCCGGAAGGGGCCTGCAGTGGGAGGTCCCGGTCAGGAGGGGTCACCGGGGTCAGCCTCGCCCCTTCACGTGCCCTCCACTCACCTGACCCCCCAGGGGCGCCCCCAGTGGGGGAGGGGGCTGGGTCTTTGGATGACTCTGGAGAACCTTCCGCTGGGATCTCAGCTGATGGTGCCACAGAGGAAGGAGGAATTCGATTGGCGGCAGCCTCTGTGGTCATCTCTCGGGCATCTTGAGTGCTCGACATTGTCACAGTCTTAGAGGTTTGTTCCCAGGGGGGTCGGGGGGTCAGCGCTGTGGTGTGAGAGGTCAGCGTGTGGGGGGCCTCCGTGGCCAGGGCTGTGGTGGTCCGGGAGGTCAGTTCTGGGGGAGCCCGTGTGCCCAGGACCCTGGAGTGTTGAGTGGTCGGCGTCACAGGGGCCTGGGTGGTCGGCCTCTTAGCATGCTTGGTCACCCACTTCTTGGTGCTCTTGGGTATTTTCCCGGGGGCCTTGGTGGTTTTCTCAGGAACACCAGGGGTCAGCCCTGCAGAGGGCTTGGTGGCCAGCTCCCCGGGGAGCCAAGCATCTGGGTCTCTGCCCAGGCCAGGGATCCAGCTCCAGCTGAAGGGGTCTGAGATGGAGTCCAGGCCGGGGGTACCTGGAAGGTAGAAGGGGAGACAGGGATGGTGGCAGACCCCATGGTGTGAAGGTCATCCGTCCACGCCCCTCCCTTTCTCTCATCTCCCCCTCCCCAGTGAGTCACTAGGCTCCCATCATCCATTCATTCATTCTTGTCACAAATATTTATTGAGCATCTCCTATGAGCCTGGCACCGTGCCTGACCCTGGGCACCTGTGGCCAGCTGAGGCCGACACTGCCCCGTCTCCTGGGCCCTCCAATCCTGATGTGACTGACTCCCTTTGCCTTTCACACCCCGCTGGTCCCCTCCACCTCCCCAGCCACAGCCTAACTTCCTGTACTTTCTGATGGGCTACCCTTCCTCCCTGGCCAGCTCTCACCAGCCATGAAAGTGCTACCAGGTCTGACAGGTCACTGCACAGCCTAAAACCCTCTGTGGCTCCTGTGGCCCTCAGGAGGACAGGGAGAGGGCCTCAGCTCCAGGCAGAATGGGTGACTCCTGGATCCTGCCCCACTTGCCTCCTCCCTTTGCTGATGTTAGTCTGTCCTTTTGCCACAATTGACCACGACCCTGAGTATCACGGTACGTCTGATTTTTGTAAGTCCTTCCAAAAAATTGTGGAAGCTGCAGATGGTCCTGGGGACCTCCCAAATCCCACCATGCCCCACGGGTTTGCGTAATTTGTTGGTGCATCTTTTCCCTTGTGAGCTGTGAGCTTCTCAAAGGCCAGGCCGTGCTCACTGCGTTCTGGGGACCCAGCTCAGTGTCTGGCACTCAATAAATGTTGGCAAGCACACGACAACGGGAGGCCTGAGTTTCCTGCCGCGGGCCTTCACTCTGGCTTCTCTCCATGTCCTGGTGTCCCTATGCCTCCTTCCTCTCATCTTGGGGATGACAAAGCTCCCCTGTGTGTGAAAGACTCCCCTGATTCTTGGGGGGGGGGAAGAAGAATCCTTAGTTGCTGTGTAACCTTGGACAAGTTACTCAACCTCTCTGTGCCTCAGAGTCTTCATCAGTAAAAGAGACATAACATCCCCCACCCTGGACTTATTGTGAGGTGTGAATGCAGTCACATGTGTGAAAACACCCAACCCAGGGCAGGGGCTCAGGAAGCAGGTGCTCAATCGACATTAGTGTGGATGTTAGTTCCTGCTCTCTCCTCCAGGAAGCCCTCCTGGAGCCAATGGATGGCTAAGGTTCCTTACCAGTGCAGGTGACGCCAACATCCTCATTGTGGGCACAGTTGTGCTTCCCCCAGGGAGTGGCAGGGCAATCAAAGAGCGACGTCTCAGTCCCTGCACACCGCACATCGTCCAGCCAGATGGGGCCAGCGCCCCAGCCGAAGCGGCCCGCAGAGGGGTCCAGCTGCCGAGCTCCCCCGCAGCCCAGTTCCCGGCAGACCACAGCCGAGTCCCGCAGGTCCCAGCTGTCATCACACACCGTCCCCCAGCGCCCGGCATGCCACACCTCCAGCCGGCCTGAGCATCTGCTAGGTCCGGCCACCAGCCGCAGTTGGGGGGACCCTGGGGTGACAGAGACCAAAAAAATTAGAGTTGAGGGTGCCTCTGCTCTCTGAGCCCTCTTCTATCTCCCCTCTACCTGTCCTTCCTTCCTGGCAGCAAGGATTTACTGAGGCCCATGCTGTGCCATTTTGGGGGGGGGTGATAAAGAGCCAGGCACAGTGCAGTGGTCCCTTGGAAAGCTGAACATAGAATTACCATGTGGCCCAGAAATTCCACTCCTAGGGACCTGCCCAAAATAGGGTGAAATGGTTTTCAAATAGACCCTGGTACCCAAAGGTTCACAGCAGCACTGTTCACAAAGCCAAAGGCTAGAAACGTCCTAAAATCCCATCCACGGATAAATGGACACTCAAAACATGGTCCATCTGTGCGATGGAATATTATGCAGCCGTTAAAAAGGAAGAGAATTACACCACCTGCCACAACAGGGATGCACCTTGAGGATATTATACTAAATGAAATAAGCCAGTCACAAAAGGGCAAGTACTGCATGATTCCACTTACACAAGGTCCCTGGTGTCATCATATCCACAGAGGCAGAAAGCACAAGGGTGGGTGCCGGGGCGGGAATGAGGAGTGAGTGTTTAACGGGGTGGGGTTTCTGGAGATGGTTGTGGTGATGGCTGCACCGCGTTCTGAATGTAGCAAGACCATTGAACTATACACTTAAAAATGGTTAAAACAAAAACCAAACCAAAAAA